AACAGGCTAGGCTCCCACAAAGCCAGTTCATGCAGTAGGATCAAAACCCAGTGCCATTGTCCTTGGCTTCTCATCAGATCTCCTGAGTAAATTGGGAGCAAGGGGACCTTGGGAGAGGGTTGAAGGGAAAGGGAGAGGCAGGGAGGGGAGCAAAGAAAAATGTAGAGCTCAATAAAAATCAATCAATCAATCAATAAAAAGATCCTGTCATTCACCCCAAGGACAGACAAAATTTAAATCCTGACAATTCCAAGTGTTGCCAAGGAAATGGAGCAATGGGAACTGTCACACCGCTGGTAGGTGTTAAGTCATAGCCCCTTCAGAGAATATTTTTCACAATTACCCACCCACTCACCATTCCACTCGTAAGTATTTACCCAAGAGAAATAAAACCCATGTCTACATAGAGACTCGTATACTGGGGTTCATAACAGCTTTGTGTATGAGAGACCAAATCCAGAAGCAACCGTGTGGTCTATCCACCCGGTGGGCTGTTGCTCAACTGTGAAAAAGAGCGTATCACAAACAAGAAAGGTCTCAAAAAATTTACAAAGATCTGTGTGAAATTCTAAAACTGGTGACTCTAAACCCGGTGCTTGAAAGTGGATCAGGGGATGCCTGAGAGAAGGGACATGGAGAGACCTTTGGTGGCGGGGGTGGGGGTGGGGATGGGTATTTTCTATATTGCAGCTGTGGTAATAGGTAATAGATAACGTAAATTTCTCGAGATTATATTAGGCTGCAGAATTAAATAAGGACATTTCATTGAACAAAACTGTAACCCAACAAAGTGATTTTTAAAATCCTAAGCAGAAACATGTTGCCACTGCTGTCTGCTCAAAGGCCCCAGCACACGGTGGGAGAGACAGTGACTGCAGAGGGGACCTTACAGCTCAGGGTCCCCAGAGGGTCTTCTTGGAGCACCAGAAGTCTGGTAGTTGGTTCCCTAGCTGACATCAGTAACCCTGAAGAGCAGCTGTTCATCTTGAGTTAGTGTCTTCCCTGGCAGCTTTAGTCTGGAGTAGAAACCTCCAGCCAGAGCTTCTGCTGGGCCTGGACAGGGGATCACACTGGTGACCTGGCAGGACTGGTCGGGGGAGGTCTGTTTCCTCACTCTGTCTCTCTGAAAGCTCCTCAGGGCCTTCCTAGACCTTCTGAGCTCTGTCATTTCCTGTGCAAGGAGCATGTCCCGGCTTCAGGCTAGCTGGACTTCCTGCTTGTGCAATGACTTGGGGGAAAGCATGTCTCCTCCCCCAAAGGCCCTGAATATTGATGTCATAGGGTAAATATCACTCCTCAGCTAGCTTGCATTTGAGCTTTCAAATGTGGGCCCTGTGGTTGGCTCACTTGAAGAAGCTTCCCTCACACTCTAGCCCAGGGCCCTGCACTTTGCGATGTCGGAAAACATGAATATCAATAAACAGCACAGTCCATCTCTGTGTGGAATGTAACACTGTCACATCCGAGGGCAACACATCTTAATCCTGGGCTCAAGGCATAAGGAGGTTCAGCCCGCTGAGACTCAGTGTGACGACACGCTAACCTCAGCACAGCTGTTACACTCGTCAGAATCAGTACAACAATGTATTGTGCGGATCCCACTGTGACCTGGTCCCCTGTGTGACTCCAAAGCTTGTCCCTGGCAACCTCTGGACTGATTTCAGTGTCACCAGGGACACTCTAGCTCAGCTCCTCTGAGACGCTGAGGAGACAAAGTCCCCTTCCCTCCAGCTTTCAGCTTCTGTTCGCCTGGGAAACTCTCAGGATCAGTCACAGGAGTGGCTTCCATACATTAGAATTTAGTGACATTTCAAATGGTTATAGAAATTTGCTAGTCTGGGTGCTGGAAATGACCCACGATAGGACACAGGAAATGCCAGGGAGCTGAGGAAATAGATCACTTGGTGAAGAGATTCCTGTGCAAGTCCGAAGATCCAAGTTCATTCCCCAGAACCCAGATAAAAAGGAGCTAGGTTCAAGCTTAGAATCTTAGTGCTGGGAGGCCAGGCCAGGACGTAGATCTCTGTGGATTCATGGGTAGCCAGCCTAAAATAACCAGTGAGCCTCCAGCAGAAAAAAAAAAAGGTGGGCATTCTTCAAGCCCCTTCACCTCTGGACAGCTTTGTTGCCCCCATTTTCTTAGGTCAGGTTCCCAGGAGGTGAAGAGTGGAAGGCCTGGGGCTGCAGGAAAAAGCTCTTCCAACCAGTCAGGGTATTCTCACCTGCCTTCAGTCCCTGACTGTGCGCTAACAGCCTCTCCCGTCCGGGCAATGTCATACACGGGTGACTTGACCATGTAGACTATGCCTAGACTACAGCCCCTATTCATCTGGGGAGAAGGCCCACCTCCCAGGCAGCTTCCCGTCACCTGGCTCCTGGGAATCAGGACACAGACTCCCTGCTGTGAAACTCCACGTGGGCAAAGACCCCAAAGTTTCAAGGCCTTGTCTCTCTTCTTATCACCTGAAGCTGCCAGGCAGGAGGCCACATGCTCTGTCTTCATGATCCTCCATATTGTCACCACTTCGCTCACCAGAAGCAGATAGTTTTGATTGATTGATTAATTGATTGATTGATTGATTGATGTGATGTTTTAACTTAGTGTGGGTTTTATTGTGGCATTTTTTCATGTTATTTGTTCCTGTTGATTCCCACCCTCTCTGAAACCCCTTTTGCTTCCTTGTCACAGGAATTCTGCTACCCCCTTTCTCTCTCACACCCACTTAAAATCCCCTTCCTCCAAGGACTCTAAGCTTGTCTACCATAGATACCTGCTTACCCCATGCTTCTTGCTGCTCCATTCACAGTAGCCAGGAAATGGGACATTTCTTTTTTTTAATTAATTTATTTATTTATTAAAGATTTCTGTCTCTTCCCCACTGCCGCCTCCCATTTCCCTCCCCCTCCCCCAATCAAGTCCCCCTCCCTC